CGACTCTAGTCGGTTAATATAATATAACCGTTTTATTATTCAGTTTAAAAATTAACAGTTTTCAGAAAAGTCAAGTTTTCACGGTAGCATCCCGAATCAGTTTTCGCAAAATTAATATTTTATTTAATTATTCAGAAAAATTACGAAAAACGCGTACTCTGATAGTATTAAAAGTCGGGGTGTTACATTGTATAGCACCCCCACACAAACTAATAGGTCTATAATTGCTCAAGGCTTCAGGGTACATACACATAGGAGTCAAAGTAATAATAGGGTGTTTCCAGTTTTTCAGAAGGTGGCCAAAAGAGAAAAAGCTACAAACAACTCTACAAACATCTTTTTTCTCAATGTTCTAGAAATTTTGGAAGAAAAGAGCTGTCATACCATCATCTGCAGGAGCTTTCTCTGGAGCCATGTCGAAAATAACTTCTTTAATTTCATCTTCCATGAAAGGCTTAATCAGCTCTGAATTAGCAGCATCAGAAATAGAGACAAGAATGAGTTGAAAAAGCTCATCTTCTCCCTAGATCCTTCTGAGGCAAATAGATCAGAATAGAAGGTGGAAATGTGATCTTTAATAGCCTCACGAGTAGCATACACCTCCCCTGAGATACTGGTGAGCTTGGTGATAGATTTTGTGTGTCTTCTCTAAGAAACAACAACAAGGAAAAACTTTGAATTGCAGTCTCTAGCTGAAAGCCACAGGGCTCGAGATTTATACCTCTAGTACCTTTCTTCCTCCTGATGAGCTTTGTCAAGATCTCTCTTCATTTCTCCCCACTCTTCCCAATCTCTGCCCTCTCCTTCATTCCTCATATCAGCCAGTTTTTTCAGAAAGGACTTTAATCTCCTTCTCATTATTCCTGTGGCTCGGTTTATGCCAAGCTAGAAGTGCCATTCTGGTGTGTTTGATCTGTTGATGCACCTGGAGCATAGCTGACCCTTCCACTGTAACATGCCACCCTGCCCTCACTGCCTCCTGAATCCCCTCCATCTCCACCCACCTGCTATTGATTTGGAATCTCTTGTGCCTCTTACTCAACTCTTTATGAGTGTCAAATAGCAGCACACTGTGGTGAGAAGCTGATCTGAAATAGTTGGAAGCCTCCATCCTGGGGAATTTGGACAACCACTTAGCAGAAACAAAGATTTTGTCCAATCTCTCCTCCACATAACCATCCCCAACTCTATTGTTTCCCCAGGTGAAAAAAGAGCCCATGTGTGCTACTTCGTGCATTTCCATACTGCAAATAAAATCCTGAAATCCCACAAAGCTACTAGGACTCCTTGCCACCCCCCATCTCTTTTCTTCATTGCTCACCAGGTCATTCCAGTACCCAGCAAGTAGCCACCCTTCACCCCAATGTCTTTTCCTCTCCTCTAGAAAATCCCATTGTTTGCCTCTTTCTCCTCCGTCAGTGCTCATATAAACAAACACCATCCAACACCAGTCCTCAATCCCAGCCCCCTTAACTTCCACTTGGATACAAAATTCATTTCCTATAATCTGGTTCACTTCAGTTAGTGGATCCCAAAGCAACAAAAAACTCCCGCTGGAACCAGAGGAATCAACCAAATGCCATCTAGTGTGGAATCCCAGCTTCCTGCACACAGTAGTAGTGAAATCTCTGGTTTTCTTAATCTCAGATAGAAAAATAACATTTGGGTGGTGGATTCTTCTGGAATCCTTAATCTGGGAAACTGCAGAGGGCCTACCCAGCCCTCTACAGTTCTACACCATGACCTTTATTGGTCACATTGGGACCATTTGTGGCTGGCCTTCTCCACCAAAGATTGGTCACTGCTTCCTTTCTGCTTCTTGTCACTAGGTTCACCCTCCTCCTTGCCCTTTTGTCCATCATATATAACCAAGGCTCTGCTTCTTTTCATATTACCAGTGGCCCTGGCTTTATCAAGATAACCAGTGTAATAACCCAACTTTTTGTTAATAAAGTGATGTATTTTCTTTTATTGATTCCGTTCATTTTCAGCAAATAAGTTCGACTTTAAGTCGAAAAGTTTATTCGGTTAATTATTAACCGAGTCAAATTCGATAATTAACTTCCGAACCATTTATTTTATAAATGGACATTATTAATCGGGATTAATTATTAAAAGTTAAGAATGTTCGGAACTAAGTTCATGATCGAAACTAAGGTTAAGTTATGAACGCACTCAAGTTCACTATGCACGCATGCATACATGCACAACGTACGCAGTCGTACGCGTAGCCACGCGCAGCGCGCATTGTCGCGCGCAGCGCATAGCGCGCGCATCATTAGCCCGCTATGAACTCACTTAGGCAATTCTTAGCAACTCGATCAAGCCAAACCCCATCCTAAGAATTACCGTGAGGGAAATTCAAAGGATAAATGTTGGGTGTGCAAGTGGGGTGATGAGTCACCTCCTTGCTTGCACACACGGCATGACACGGACGCACAAGTGATGACTAAGCCGTGCATGTCCGCCACCTCGGCAATGACTAAGCAAAATTTGCCCAACACTTCAGCCGTGCTTTGGACACTTGTAATAAAAAGAAATAACGTCATCTTCCACCTCCTTTGACCCCATTTTACTCTCAGTTTTTATCTCCATAAATAACCGAGCATGTGGGACATTCTCCCCATGCATTCTCATGTAATTTCAGAAGAACTAAATAGAGAGAGAACAAGAAGGAAAAATAGAGGAAAAATTATATAATAATAGCTAAGGATTGCCGAAGCAAAAGGGAAGCAAGCTCACGCCAAACCGAGCACCGAACACACGCGCAAGTCTTCGTGCGTTTGTCAGCCAAACTGAAGGGTATACACTCCTTTGCCCTCTTTTCGTGTAATTAAGTTCATGTTAACAAGGTCATGTCAAAATCAAATTGTTCGGTCGAAGTTTTTAGTAAAATTGTACTCGGAGGTGCTATTTAAGCCCTCCCGAGTGATTTTAAAATAGAAACGGCAAGTCCCGAACAATTTATGTATATTTGATCATTTCAAGTCGTTTTATACTCAGTTATATAAGAGTTGCCGGAAAAAGTAGCCGGACGGCCGGCGAAATGCCGACCGTGATGTCTACCGCGCACAGCATGCGCGCAGGCGCGCCCGGCAGGTCCAGCGAGTATGCAGGCAGCGTCCGCGCGCCCAGTAACGTGCACGCGTGCCCAGTACTCGGCAGTCAGGCCCCAGTCATGCGCGTAGACGTGCAAGGTGCGCGTCAACACGCCCAGTCGCGTACACCGCAACGCATCACACGCCCAGCCGCGTGTCCTGCAACGCCAGTACGCACGCCAGCAGCGTACCACGCATACTGGCCAGTCACTACGCATGCCAGCCCGCCCAGCAGCGTGCCA